ATATATGGTTACCGCAATATTAGCGCAACCAAATATTATACGGCGATTACAGTTTATTATTTTAAACAAATATATATATTTGGGATCTAAAATAAACAGGATTTATATATATATATATATATATATATATATATATATATATATATATATATATATATATATATATATATGTATATGTGTGTGTGTGTGTGTGTGTGTGTGTGTGTAGCGCGTTTGTGTAAAAATATATTTTAGAGTTATGAATATTAATTTTATTACATCGAGTACTGTTTTATTAATACGAGGCACTACATGTGCGATATATAAATATATATATATATATATATATATATATATATATATAAAGAAAGAAAGGAATGTGTTTTTTATTTATTAATCCGTCAGATTTTTAGTGCTTAGACGTTATTTTTACTGGATACTCGTATTTGAGTAGACGATCTGTTTAATTATTAAACCGTATTTATTTTCGTCAAATAAGATATTTCTGTTAAGACTGGAGAGTAATTATACCTGCTTAGAGCTCAAAGTAGACTTCAATAGTGTTATAAAATCTTCGGAGAATTCCAGTAAGATATCTTTAATCATTTCTAAGATACAACAAATGTATAATTTTGTGTGTTGTTCAACACCCACCAACCTGGAGTTTATACTTCAACTATGTTGAACAGACCTTAGTTACAGTTTCTGGGAGAGAGTGTATTATCTAGAATAATCAACAATCTGAACAAAGCAAGCACACTCAGAACCTCGGTCACGATGACTTGTGACTTCGTGCTAGCATTGGGTCAATCTGTGGTATTGTTTTCAGCACTTTCCAAAGATAGACCGATAACATCAGAAAAACAAATAGACCATAGTGAGATTCGAACCCGGATCTTATGGATAGAAAGCGAACGTTCTAAATACTCGGCCACGCGCACATATCCATATTTGGGCAGCGACTTTCTTTTGACGTTTAGTGGGAGTAAGGGAGTGCAAAAAGTGTCCATATTGTCCGTTGTCGCAAGCGCTTTCGGCCACTCCTTTAGCCATTTTCAAGTGAGTTAGTTTTAAGTGTTGTTAATTTCTCTTCATGTTTTCACTGTTTAAGATGTATTTTATTTTTGTGTTGAAAAGAAGTGTTGAAAGAAGTGCGCATGAGTGGATCGAGAATTTTAAAAATGGCCGGACAAGCGGGATGCATGATGAAGGAGCAGGACAACCGTCAACCTCCCCCCACTGACGAGAACATTCATCAAGCTCGAAAGATGGTAATGGCAAACTAGCAAGTTATCATCGATGAGGTCGAATGTTCTCTGCAGATTCACATCACTGCTCTTTGTTCTTGCTTGGTGCACACTGCTAGCGGAGCGGTCATGTTTACACTGTAACAACAGCAAGAAGATTGGTGCAATCAAGCTCAAACTACAATAGTATCAACTATAAGCACGCTTGAGGAGAAGGCAGTGCGACAATAGTGTAGATTATTTTGCACTCTTAGAAGATCAACATTGCACTCTGGGGGTTGATGCAATAAGTTTTGACACTAAAAATTAGAGTTATCGTTCACCAATTTTTGCGCATTTGGTTTTAAAAATTGTCTGAAAAATGTACAGAAATACCTAATTTCTACAAGTTTTTGCTTACAAACTGACTTCTGAATTTTACTATTTCAAAACTAAATCCAATTAAAGTTGATATATTTTGTATTAGGTTCATTGAATAGAAAATATATTCAAATTAGAATTCTAATTATGAATCACCACAAGCAAAATATGATTTTTTTTACTGTATTCCATAAGTAAAAACTGTATTCAAAAAATCGATAAAAGTGTATTTAACACGTTAATAATGATGGGCCCAAATTATAAGACAAAATGATTTAAATTTGCATTGGTGATTAAAAACCACACTGTATTCGATAAGTAAAAACTGTAAAATATACAAAAAAGGCTAAACAATGAATAAAAATTGTTAAACTTACTTATTATAAAACGCAGATTGTGTGTGTGTGTGTGTGTGTGTGTGTGTGTGTGTGTGTGTGTGTGTACGTTTATATATTGGATCGGATTTCCTACATTTTTCAAAAAATTAAAAAATAAAGAAAAATAAAAACGCCACCTATTTGAGGATTGCATTACAATGAACGAAATAAGAAGGTATGGTAGTTCCATACATCATTAAAACTAGATTTTGTCTCAACTGTTATTGACATCAAATATAGACAAGATCTATTCGGAAAGAATCCAACCATTTATTATTAACAAAAACAAATAACCTACCCAGGACAAGGGTACCTTAGCCCGCTTCAAAGTATTCGCTTTGGAACTTGAAGCACTTATCCTGAAGTTTCGTCTACTCTTCAAAACTGTCTGCCATGTCCTCTTTCGGGGTCATCATCAGCTGCCTCATTGTGAACTCCTTAATCTCGGCCATGTTTTGAAATCTCTTCACATTCAATGGCTACTGTAACTTTGAGAAAAACCAAAAGTCAAAGAGAGCCAAATCGAGATCGGAACAGGCTTGACAGATCCAGGTAATGTCCTGTCTTCTCCAAGACTGGTGTGAACGCCACTGCCACAAAAACAGCTCAAATAACGGCGTCTCGATGCCGACGAAGTAACTCCAGGAGAGCGTGGGTGTTTACACATGCGCAGCAAGTTCACCTCTTATTATCTGCCAAGTTCCAGCAAGCGGTTCCAGAGATATTTCAAAACGACTGGATATGTTTTGAACTGACTCCGAGTTGCAACAGTAGACATTATAATTGGATTCAGCCAATACATGACTGACGGCTGTCTGAAACATAAAACAAAAGCAAAAAACATAAAACAAAAACGAGAAAGAGACAATGAGAAAAGACGTGAGAAAAAAAAAGAAAGACCATATCATTTTTTTTTTTAAATGTTTTTTGGCAAATTATGTCAACTCCCCCGATGCCGGTCTCAGTTCCGGATATAAAAGTGGGGAGGTGGTGTAAACCATCTTCTCCCAGAAAAACAAAAAAAAATCCCCTTACTACAGAAACGCGAATAAAGAATATTAATAAAAAAAATGTTATTTTGCCAACAATCGATATCTCTATTCACCGAATAAAAAGTGCCAAGTGTTAAGATAACCTCATGGCAAAGTCATAGACGACAACAAACAAACAAAAACAATTGCTTGCTTCTAGTCAGATTAAGCCTAAAACTCGTCTGAAGACGTTCAAGGTCTTTTACTGTGCTTAAAGACAGACACACGAGCATCATAGATAGATAGATAGATAGATAGATAGATAGATAGATAGATAGATAATGAACAGACTGACATAGATAGATAGATAGATAGATAGATAGATAGATAGATAGATAGATAGATAATCTTTAAAACCAACGAGTTCGATGTGAAGAGACTGAGATAGATAGATAGATAGATAGAATGGTGCCTTGACTTCAGAGTTTAATTCGTTCCGTGACGGAGCTTACCCATTTTGCTGCGTTTTCCCCAATTTAATCTGCAGGGGTTTTCGATAAATAAATAAAAAAAACCCTGTCCAGTGAGGCCTGTTTCATCCTGTCTTTCAGAATGTTTCCGAAATAAGTAAGGCAAGTGTCATTAAAAGTCGCCGTCGCATGCCCAGTTGCAACTTTTTCTGGTTGTTTCTTTTGAATAAAGTCTGAAAGTTTCTCCCAAATTCTCAACTTGTAGAGATAAAACCTCATCTACCTTCTCCGCGTCACCCATGTCCTGCAAAACCTGCATGTGCTGCTGAGTCTGTTGCTACTTTAACTCCTATGTTGTCACTTCCTCGGAGTGCGCTCCTTATGAGCTCGTCGATGTCATCTTCATCCAGGTCCAGTCCCAGACTTGCCAAGGTTTACAATCTCTACCACTGACGCTTCGGTTTTGAGTCTTTCAAAGTCCGTTTTAGACATAACCTCAGTCCACAGTTTCTTCCACGCAGAGGTCAAGGTTTTCTTTGCAACACCCTGCCAGGCCATATCGATAATTCTAAGGCATATCACGTTGTTATAGTGGTCCTTCCAAAACTCTCGAAGGTTTGTGCTCTCCGTCACCTCAAAGCAACGGCGGAACAGGTACCTGGTGAAGAGCTTCTTGAAATTAGAAATCACCTGCTGACCCATGGGTTGCATGATAGGAGTAGTGTTGGGTGAAAGGTAGAGAACTTTGAACTTCAAGAGTTGTCATCTTCGTCGTTAGGTAGGTGACTGTACTACTGTACTGATGCGGCATTCACCGTGGGCGGATTGAGCCGGCTTCTTCCTGTTATGAGAAGAAGATTCTTGGGATAAATTACAGAATTAGGGTACCCAGGCCTACTCGGATAACGTTCTTGCTTGCCGCGGGATTCCCACAGACTCAGAGACAGGAACGACCAGAAGCCGCCGGTTACCGATGCAGACGCTCCTTGGATTTTCACCAGAGCCCTTAAGTAGGTGAGCAAATGCATTGTTCAGGACTTGCAGGAGTAGGTTAATTTTCCCGAAGATATTTCTTTAGGTCAAGACCAAAGACCTAATTCACCCTCTCCACAAAAACTATTTGGTGATCCACGCCATTGGGATTTCTATCCACGTAACTGCAGATTTTCGTTTCGGAATCTTGTGTGATTTAAAAGTTCTGTTTTTTTTTTTTTTTCGAATTATAAACAAACAGCGGCTTAATCTTGTAGTCACCGCTCGCCATCATTCATGGATTTTTAGCCTGGCACCTCATCTCTTCTGCTAGTATATGACATCCTTGGCATCTTCTTTCAAACAAGTCCTGTCTGGTCACAATCTAAAACTTTCTGGCTTATCCTTTGCCTGCTATAATTCCGGCAAAAAGGGTACCTCTAGGTGGTATAATGGTTAGCAAGCTTGTCTCGCTAGAACAAGTGCGACTGAGTAGTGAGTTCGATCCTCACGGGGTACCCCATACTTTCGGCCTTGAGCTACGCTTGAAAAATCACTATAATTTCGGCAAAAAGATTTGAGGTGATCCCCAGCTGCCTTCATATCCGCATTTGCTTCCTCACTATGCCCGACAACGGAGTGACTGTCGGTTCTCGTTTTAAAATTCTCGAACCAGCTCCGACTGGCTTTAAACGGCTAGGTCGATACCTCGTCCGTCGAAGTGCCTGGGGTCTGCTGCAGCAAATCAGAGGAAATAGCTCATACCTTTTCGCAGATTATAGCTTCCTTCACGGTATCTCCTGCGAGCTGTGTCTCTGTCAACCACACCGTCAGCAGCTTCTCCATATTTTCATGGATAGATGTCTGCTGTTTAGAAATTATTGGCTGTCTTTATAGCTTTTATCGACTCCTTCTCCTTCAGTATGGTGCAGATCGTAGAAGGGCTATACTCGTACTGCTTCGCCGACTACACGCACAACTTGGTGATGTTTTTCGATAATTTTTTTCTTTAATTCAATGCACATCACCCGCTTCTTCTTCTCAGCATTGTACTTTCTTCGGACCCGTGGTTGGAAAAACGAGGTTTTGCAAGATAACTGCAAGCACAAATGCGATCAAAACATTGGTGCTTCCAGTGAGAGTTAACTGCTCAAAGTGATCGCGTGAGGCACGGGATGCTGGGCGAATATTGCAGCGTTCACTGTGAAGTTCGCTACGCCATCTAGTGGTGGGGTATCTGAAGCTGGCTTGTAATCTTTTACAAATAAAAGAAAAAATATTCGCTTTCGTTTCACTGAGAAAAAAAATATTTTAATCCAACTTTGACTTCTAATTACCATCCATGAAATCATCGTTCTCCTAAATTTACTCAAAAAAAAATGTTGAAAAGTCGCATATGTATTTATTCTTCATCAGTGGAAATAAAGGTGTTGTATGGAAATTGTTTTTACTTTTTGATTAACCCTTGGCTATCGTATTAATTTGCGTATATATCTAGCTAGTGTGTGTGCATTACATCACATTATTTGATAGGTATATATCAAAACGCACTGTAATTCTACAAAATGCTTCAAAAATATTCTTATATGCAAATTTGAGGTCCCTTGTAAACTAATGGTCACCAAGACAAACTAAATGACCGTCACTTTTGCCTAACACCTTAATACTGTACGTTCTGGTTATGACGATAAACGACATCCGTGTCCTGGGTAAGACGATAAACTACGTCCAACAGCGAGGCCTCTGATCAGATTGTTGGTGTTCCCAGGTCCACTCTGACCCGGTGTGGTAGCACCTTTTAGGGTTCCAACTATGGGTAAATAGTTAACCCCCAAACTGATTTCAAAACACTATGAACTATGAACGTGTAAAAATAGGTTTTAATACCAAAAATATTTACAAAATTATTACCAGCAATAAATTCTTGAAGAAAAATTATTACCAGCAACACATTAATACCAGCAATACATTTTTGAAAAAAAATTACCACCCATACAGTTTTGAAAAAAAAATTAACAAAAATAAAAATCATTGAGGTTGATACGTTGTAAAACAAACAAACCAACCTTAATAACGTAATATTACATCTAAATAGAAGGGTTTTAAATGCTATTAAATATAATGATTATATATAATAGGTAGATGTAAACGTTTCCAACAATTTTTGACCAAATCTTACATTCATCCAAGCCCACGGTATCTTTATTCATTTGGTCTTCTCAACTAATTTTCGATGAGCTTCCCATAACTTTCAGGTAAATTGATCGTTTCATCATAAAACGACGAATACGGTTTTGATCCTCTACATTCTTTCGACAAATGTTTTTGGTTATCTAAAACTTTTGTTCGAACTGCTGACTAGACAAAGAATGGTGAGGAATAAATGATAATTCGAAGTTGACAAATCTGGAGAAGACACGGTACGGAGAGAGAATAAATTCCATTCCCAATTCATGAATGTTTGCTGCATTAGGTTGTCTTGCACGTCATTGCTATTGAACTGATTTCGGTTATCGCTCAACTTCCCATCACTTTACCAGAAAAGAGAAAAGTTAGTAAATATTTACTATATTTATGGCTTCTGTCGGACTTTTCTGTCGACCATTTCCCGTTAGACATTATCCGTTGGCTATTTCCGTCAGCTATTTTCCATCGACCATTTTCCGTCTGCCATTTTCCGTCAGCCATTTTCCGTTTGCCATTTGTGTCAGCCATTTTCCATCAGACTTTTTCTGTCGGCCAATCTCCGTCGGCCATTTCCGTCAGCCGTTTTCCGCTAGCCATTTTCCGTCGGCCAATCTCCGTCGGCCATTTCCGTCAGCCGTTTTTCGCTAGCCATTTTCCGTCGGCCATTTCCGTCATCCATTTTCCGTCAGCCATTTCCGTCACTCATTTTTCGTCGGCCATTTTCTGTCGGCTATTTCCGTCAGACATTTTCAGTCGGCCATTTTCCGTCAGCCATTTTCCGCCAGCTTCTTGCCATCAGGCTTTTACGGCGACCTTTTCCGTCGGACTTTTCTGTCAGCTATTTTTACGAAGTATAAAAAATTTATATTTCTTAATTTCTAGCCGTCGTTAACGTGCTCTTCAGGAGGACCGCCTATTCTCAACTCTGCAGCCCCTTAAGGCATGTTCAAGATTTCCCTGCTTTATTTTTGGAAAGCTACATATTAAATCGTCTTCTTCTATATGCTGTATCCCTTCAGGACGTGGGCGATCATGGTTCTCCATAACTTCCTTTCCTTTGTCGCTCTTAGTAAAGTGTGTCTTTTTGCTATCTCTCCTAAACTTTGTTCTGCCAACCATTTACACATTAGGTAGGTTATGCACTGCTTCCCTCTGTCCCTCTTGCCTTCAATATGTTAATTTGGGATAAAGTCGTTTTTGTTCATTTTGCATTAAAGCTTTGGTTGGGAGTTGCCCAGTCCTCACTTTCCAGTGTCGATAGAGTGCCTCCGAGTACTTGGGGGTGACGAATTAGTTTTCCACTCCCTAACAACGCACTCACAAGCGGGATGTGGCGAGCCTCTCACAGCTCAGTCCCTACTTTCATGGCAAGTGCTCGGTCGAACTACATTCCTTGGTTCCGTTAGGTCGAACCCACACGGTTAGGAGCCACCATGCCAGTTATATTGAAGCAAACCACCCACATTCCCTCCGTATTCCATCAGTTCCATTCAAACAGCTTCTTCCGTAAACCCCTCCACTGTGGAACAGGCTGGCAAGAGGATGTTTTCCAGATCACTACAATCTTAACGGTTATCTTTCTTTTGAACAGGTTGTCTTTCTTTCCTACCCCTAGGCGTAATCTTCTTCGAGTGGCCCCCGTGCCTTATACAGGGCGAACCTTACTGTAAAAAAATTCACCTGAAAATGGTATGATCCCACTTTACTCTGACATGCGATTTAAAGGTTAAAAAGATACCATCAAACAAACCATCCTTCCCCTGAGAAATGTAATGAAATAATGTTTTCCCTCGGTGCCTCTAAGTGTCTCCAATTAGGAATTTGCATGTTAAGCTGTTCCTTTTATTAGACACCTTTTTATTGGCATTTCCCACATTGTGCATAATTATGAGAAACTAAGATGCTTTAAGTTTTGCCCGGTGTAAAACTGCGCAATACTCACCATCCAACCTTGATACGCTTCAGAGTTATATGTTCCTAATATGTTGTCTTTCTAATTTATCCCTGAAGATGAGTTTAGAAAAGGTCGAAAGTACTTGGGTTAAAAAAAAACAGTTCATCTTCATCTGATCAGATTGTCTAGCATTCAGCGACATATAGGGGAAAAAATATTACATAACAGTTCAGAAATTTTTCCTTTCTCTCTAATGAATTTGTTTTGTTTCTTAATACTTTGCTTGGCTTTTGGAAGGCACCTCTCGCTATCCCAATGCGTCTTCGAATTTCGATGTCGTATTTTCCGTCCTCTGTTAAAACGCTTCCTAGATATTTAGATTTTTTGTACTTGATTGGTTTTTGATGTCTGCAATTCATAGTTCGCAAGATATAAAGGGTGATGTGGTCAAAGAAATTGACTGACACCCACGACTGCGTTCTTCTATTTGTGAGGCATGGGGCCTGACATAGGGTCTTCAAGCAGCCACCCTCCTGACCCAGGGCAGCACTACCTCCCCAAGGTACTTGATGAAGACTGGGACCCTGTGGAAAGATGAATGGAGGCTTAACATCGCCATCACTAGTGCTCACTCCAAACACCATGATGTTGACTGGATATATCATCCAACTTTTTCGAAATCTTCTGCACTGTCTTCAGACTGACATCCAAACACTCGGAAATGTTTGTATTGCATCTTCCAGCGCGAATGCCAAGAAGTACAACATGCCGTTTCTGGCGGAGTGAATTGCATCATAGAATTTTGCCGCCCTCTTTGGGGAGCAGTACCCTGTGTAAGTCAGTGTGCAAACAAAAACTACTTTAAAGAAAAGTTTGCGTCTTTCTATATGTTGTGGATTCCGGGATGAAATCCGGTCTCAAAATGAATGACAAACGCAGGAATGAAATATAACAAATAAATGTATTGACGTAATAATACAATTGGTAATACGGTTAGTAGATCCAGAAATGCAGTTAGTAGCAATAATAATAATATATATAGTCTGGGAAATTCAGTATCGAAGTATGACTTCCTTCTGAGTCTACGTGCTCGCAACTGTGACTCCTACAAAGTGGTTACCTCACACTCTCACTCTTTCACTGTCTCATTGTATCACTGTCACTCCCGAGTATTCACCGGCAGCAGTACAAGTACACACTAGGCGAGTCCACATGTATAAAAAGGGGTGGACCCCTTAACACTATATACAGAATGCGATGGATAATTTGTCGTCTAAATTACGCAAAAAAAATGAAAATAACACTGACATCTCATTTTAATTGATGCATTTAGCAAATACTTTTATCTTGAAATACTAAATAAAATCGTCATTGGCTTCAACCACGGCCTCCAGACGACTTCGGAATTTCCTGAAATTCTTCTGAGCGGTCTCCTCTAAGTTGGTGAATGCTGCTATATTCCATGCCTTCAATTCATCTTTGGTGTTACAAGGAGTTTTGTTGGTCTCTCGTCTAACTGCATCCCACACATAACAATCAAGGGAGTTGCAGTCTGGGGAGTTAGGTAGCCAGATGGATGTAAGAGGTGATGTGGTCGCAGAAATGTTTATCAGCCATGACTGGTTTCACCTGCTTTGTGACAGAGTCCTGTTGCCAGACGTAGGGTTTTCCAGTAGCCACAATTTTGACCCAGGGCCGCACTACCTCTTCAAGGGCCTTGATGTAGTGCTCCATGTTGAGTCAAAGACTCTGTGAGAAGATAAATATAGGTATAACATCGCCATCTCCAAACACCTTCGTAATCACCATTAGACTCATCCAACTCTTTCCAAATCCTCTGCCCTGTCCTCAGATTGACACCCAAACACTCTGAAATGTTCATACTGGAGATTCCAGCGCGAATGCCAAGCTGTACAGCATGCCGTTTCCAAATTTCTGGCAGAGTGAGTTAGTGTCATCGGGCTCTTTTTCTTTCCAACTGATCTTATTATACGGTGCAGTCGACAAAATTAAAAAAAAAACCGCATATACGTGAAATTAAAAATATAAAATGGTGACAATTTATCCATTGCACCATGTAGTAGCACGCTTAAATTCATGTAGTCGGGGTACTGGGGGGGGATCTCGTCAGAGCAGTTACCATGGAAGTATTTGTAGAGAAGGTAGACACGTCAGATCGCTGTGAAAGTGACTGAAGTAGAGATGACACATCTAGATCGATTTTATTACAGACCCTTTTTTGGATTTTATCAAGAACCTCGAGATGATTAGCACAAGCACCTGACCAGATAGGACAGCAGTATCCAGTTCCCGAACAGAAGGTAGATTTATAAATGTGCAAGATAAATTCTGACAAGAAATATTTTCTAGCCCAACCCAGTGAACCTACTTTCCTTGCAGTAGATGCATCTATTGATTCAATATAGTCGCTCCATTTCATGCCAGTGGAAAACGTGAGGCCAAGTTGAAGGCGCTTATATGGAAATTTGTTTCCCCCAGGTGACAGGTTACCATTTGATTTGCATATGAGAATAGTAACACAAGGGAATTGGTTTGGTGAATTAATCGACCGGTGCCATAGCGCTTTTGGTTTTTTTTTTTCACCTCAAGGCAGAATTGAGGGAATTAATAAAAATAACATCTCACCTATCTAGTTTATCTGTTATCATTTTTCTAGCAATGTGTCGGGGGTGGGGGCACATTGTTTCATTCGATAACTCAAACCCAGACAATACCAGATGCTTCTTCTTCTTCTATGTGCCGCGTTCCCTGAGAACCTGCGCGGTCATGGCTCTCCACTACTTCCTATCTTTAGTAGCCGTTAGTAAGGTTTGTTTTTCTCTATAACTTCCACTCCCTGTTCTGCCATCTACATGTACAAGTTCGTTACATAGGTGCATAGGTACATACATTTCCCTGTCCTCGCTTTCCTGTGCGATCATGGCACTCCACTACTTCCTATCATTTCTGGCTGATAGTAAGTTTTGTTTTTCTCTATCACCTCCACTCTCTTTTCTGTCATCCACATATACAAGTTCGTTAGATAGGTTACTCACTGTTTCCCTGTCCTCGCTTACCTGCGCGGTCATGGCTCTCCACTACTTCCTATCTTTTGTAGCTGTTAGTAAAGTTTGTTTTTTCTCTATCACTTCCACTCCCTGTTCTGCCATCCACATATACAACTTCGTTACATAGGTTACTCACTGTTTTTGTGTCCTCGCTTGCCTGCGCGGTCATGGCACTCCACTACTTCCTATCTTTTGTAGCTGTTAGTAAGGTTTGTTTTTCTCTGTCACTTCCATTCCCTGTTCTGCCATCCACATATACAAGTTCGTTACATAGGTTTCCTTGTCCTCTCTTGTCTTCAAAATGTCTTGTGAATTTAAAATTCTCCAAACCTTCTTTCCTCGTCTATTGCAGACAATTAATCTGCCTCTTTCTGGTTCAATGTATAAGCATCGTTTATGTTTCCGTTTTCTAAAAACTTCTTTGTTATTCACATGTTTAGTCCATGACATGCTCAGCATCCTTCTGTAGAACCACATTTCTGATGCCTCAAGTTTCATCTGTGAGGTGATTGTACAGCAATTACAACCATGATGCCGGATTGATATTACATAAGATTTCAAATACTAGTTTAATCTATTGTAATTAAATACTTTTTGCATTAACTTATCAAATCAATTCCTCTTCCAATCAGTCATCAGTTATAGATTCATTTACTTGTAAAATCCACCTCAGTGGTAAACCTTTTGCAATAGAACCTGCTTTATTTAGGCAATGGGCGAAATTGAAGTCAGGATAGGTTGGTCGAAACTCCAGACAGTAAGTCTAAGAACAGAAACGTAAAAAAAATCGGCTTGTTTCGAAATAACAGATCGTCCAAATCCTAAATAGATACAAACTAAATTCTCTCTCTCTCTCTCTCTATTTTCTCTCTCTTTCTCGCGCTTTCTATCTCTCTCTCTTTCTCACGCTTTTTATCGCTATCTCTATCTCTTTCTCTCTATTCTCTCTTTTTCTTACGCTTTCTATCTCTATCTCTTTCTCTCTATTCTCTATTCTCTCTCTCTTTCTCACGCTTTCTCTCTCTATCTCTTTCTCTCTATTCTCTCTATTCTCTCTCTCCTCTTTTCTCACGCTTTCTATCTCTTTCTCTTTCTCTCTATTCTCTCTCTCTCTCTTTCTCACGCTTTCTATCTCTTTCTCTTTCTCTCTATTCTCTCTCTCTCTTTCTCACGCTTTCTATCTCTTTCTCTTTCTCTCTATTCTCTCTCTCTCTTTCTCACGCTTTCTATCTCTTTCTCTTTCTCTCTATTCTCTCTCTCTCTCTTTCTCACGCTTTCTATCTCTATCTCTTTCTCTCTATTTTCTCTCTCTCTCTCTCTCACTCTCTCTCACTCTCTCTCTCCCACTCCGCGATCATTTGACACTCAATATAGGACAGACCTGACAGTCAGCTTTTTTGGCATTTAATGCAAGCGACAAATATCAGCAACAGAATAAGCGGCAAAACTGGTTCCATCGTTCCGGCAAACCAATAACCATAAATTAACTTCAGGTTGCAAATACAAACGCAAACATGGTATCAAAACATAGACCCCTGCCAACCTTAGTAGATATGAAAACCAAAGATCGAGACACGGGCAAATCTACCTATCAATACAGACGCCGGCATCTGCAACTTTTTTTCTTCTAATAAATGTTCACCTAATACAAGGCTTAAGAGCCACTCAAAATAGAGCGTTATTCAGTCCATGACTCAAGGTAGAAGGTTATTGAATGAAGTACTTGATATGAATGTAAGAGGAGGAAAAAGGGAGTGAAGTTTATGAGACGTGGGCTAGTGGAACAAGAACAGTCTACCGCGAAGATTAAATAAAGGGTTCAGTTAGGAATTGCATGTAGGTAGCCCGGGTCGATATACACCCGATGAAGGCCGGAAGGCACAACGGCCGAAACGCTATGATAACAACAACAAAGACGAAAACAATAGTTCAAATATAGTGTCAATAATATTATACATTAGTCGTTTACATCATTTGTGTTAGTATTTAAAAATAGTCTAGAGTAATTTCATTCACCCGAATCCTTGCAGGTGCGCTGCGCACACACACTAGTCATAGCTCGAGCAGCGGCGAGAAAACATGGCGGTGTCGAAGCCGCTCGTTCGAGGTTGCCTGCTTTATGATTTTAAATTTATCAAATAAATTAGTGGTACATAGAAATAAATTCAACCCCAACTTTGATGTAAAGAACGCCACACTTATCAAAAGAGACAGTAATTTACTTCGACGGAAATCCTCGAGAGTCAGTCAGTTATGTGCCATGCGTGATACACGCTTAGGCGATCATGACTGACGAGGCAGATTTTCCCGCAATAGGTTGCCATTTCTTTCAGCAATTGACCAGTTGCCATCCAAGGCTAAAGAACCCGGTCCGTCCTGCTATTTACCCATAGCATTAATACGATTCATACCTTTCCCAAGGGTATTAGCACGTAAGTGAATGTAATGGATTCGACTGGAATTCGAACTCGGCTCTCTGATTTCTTAATCCGAGCCACTATCCATTACTCTATCAAAATCCGGATTTTTTTCATTATCTCCAGTCTTGAAAGAATTACTATTTTCCCAAGCCAACATAGATGACGATAGAAATGCTAAAAAGATTAAAAGAAAACGGTTAAATAAATTCCTGTTATGTAAAAAAAACATATATGTAATATAAATATTTGAGTTAGGGGGGGGGCACCTCGAGTCGGTCTAATGGCTAACAAGCTTGTCTCGCTAGAACAATTACTACTGAGTAATGAGTTCAATCCTCACTGGGTGCCCCCTACTTTCGGCCTTGTGCCACATCTAAGCTATGCTTGGAAAATCCCTATTGGGCGCCTCGAGGTGGTGTAATGGTTAGCAAGCTTGTCTAGCTAAAACAATTACGACTGAGTAGTGAGTTCGATCCTCACTGGGTGCCCCTTACTTTCGGCCTCGTGCCACATCTGAGCTACGCTTGGAAAATCCCTATTGGGCTCCTCGAGGTGGTGTAATGGCTAGCAAGCTTGTCTCACTAGAACAATCACGACTGAGTAGTGATTTCGATTCTCACTGGGTGGCCCCTACTTTCGGCCTTGTGCCACATCTGAGCTACGCTTGGAAAAACGCTGTATGGGAGTAGGGAAGAAGAGTACATTATAGGTAAGTCCCTGTTTAAAGTCTGTGTATTTTTTTTAATCCGATATTAAATAAAGACTGATTATTTTTATTATCATGATTATTTAATACATAAATTTATCCCATACTAAAATAATCTAAATTGCATGAAAAAATTTAATGTCATCAACTCACATTCGTGTTCCTTGTCTGTCATGTTCAACGAATATACGCCGCCGAAAAAATAAAATTTGGTCGAGCACTTTATAGGGAAACCGCGAATTTGTGAACAGTGACTGCTACTGCCGATAATGCAAAAGCTTTTCTATGAATAGAGTACCCTGAGTCGTCACTGGCGTGTCTAATCAAAAATAAATACCTAAAGATTTACCTTTATCTCTGCCTGGAGCTGATAGCTGAAGGGAAAAATCTCCGACTGATGCCAAATCGGAGTTCGATCCTGGTTTGAGGCAATCGGATGTCTACTCACTGATGAGCTGTGATACAGTGAAGCAATCAGTCTGTGGATAACAATATATACGCCCCCGAAAAAATAAAATTCGTTCGAGTACTTTAGAGGAAAAGCGCGAATTTCTAGACATTGACTGCTACAGCTGATAAACAGTGACTGCTATTGTTGATATGTATCGAAAACTCTGAGTCACTGGCATATTTATTCAAAAATAAATACGTAAAAATTCACTTTCCTCTCTGCCGGGAGCTGATAGCTTAGGGGAAAATCTTTGACTGATGCCAAATCAGTCGGGGTTTTCTACCCACATTGATGAGCTGTGATACAGCGAAACAATCTGTCTTTGAATGACAATATATATATATATATATATATATATATATATATATATATATATATAAAAAGTGAACATTGAAGTCAACACTCAGAGATGACAGACAGTTTTATGCTAAACGCAATCACCAGGCCATATATATATATATATATATATATATGTGTGTGTGTGTGTGTGTCTACGGGGGGGTGCATATATTGCAGAGATTTCTAATATAAGGTATGTACATATATACCCTTCCATATACTACACAGAAATACCTCCCATGAATAGGTAATATTTCTGCCGAAACTTATATATATATATATATATATATATATATATATATATATATATATATATATATATATATATATATTATTTAAATAATTATATTTATGCTCTACTTTTGTATCGAGCACTATTTTTTAAAATAATAACTAAAATACTAAGGGACTTTGGATTATTTACCTAACCAGTTCCTTCCTATTTTCTATATATTTTCATATATATATATATATATATATATATGTGTGTGTGTGTGTGTGTGTGTGTGTGTGTGTGTGTGTGTGTGTGTGTGTGTGTGTGTGTGATTTCACCCCAAGCATGGGGTTTCAAGCAGTGTAGCAATGCCACAGGGAGTTACAAAGAGTGAAACTAAAAGAGAAAACTGAGAATAGAGTGGATTGAGGAAATGGCAAAAAATGAACGGGCTTCAAGAAAACAGAAGATGGCGATTGGCGTTGCAATTAGATTTTTGAAGATTGTAGTTATCAGGAATGCAAGAAATCGGAAGGTAGTTCCACGGGTGGGAAGTGCGACAAAAGAAACTGTTGGGGTTGAAGTGGCGGTTTTATTTAGCTATTTCAACAATAAAAGAGTGGGACCTACATGCCAATCTAGTAAGACGATTAAATTCATGTAGTCGGCGCACCAGGGTAAAAAGCTCATCAGAGCAGTTGTCATGTAAATATTAAACAAAAGAGTCAGAGGGAAGCCACGTCACGTCGATGAGAAAGTCACTGAAGTCGAGATGCCTGGTCAAGATCTCTATCTATAAAAGACAGGATGTGTGTGTGTGTGTGTGTGTGTGTGTGTGTGTGTGTGTGTGTGTGTGTGTGTGTGTGTGTGTGTGTGTAACGAATGCACGGCCGCAATTTTCAAAGGATTTGCACCAAAATGTACATGCACATGCTCCAAGTTAGTGGGAAGGCCAAGACCGACTTTGCATTTCCCAACTCCCATTGATTTTTTTTTCATGCTTCTACGGCAGTTTTCATGTAGTTTGCAGCCATTTTCTACTGGCCAGAGTGAGAGCCTATAGCTGGCTGCCACGAATAGACAGGAAGATTCCATTGGCCAGCGTGAGAGCCAACAGCTGACTGACACGAATGTTAACTAGCATGCAAAAAAAATCGATAGCTGCATTCGTCACAAGTGGGAAAAATTTAAATCTGCATGGCACTTTACTCCAATTGGCTCATTCGCTTGCTTAAACTCAACATTGATTCTGATTCCGCAGAACTGGGTTGGGTGTGAAAAAGAATTTGTTGTTAACATTCTTTTTTCATTCGGTTTTTCCAGTTATGAGTCCTTTTTTAAAGCTGATCGTTTTGTGTTCATTTTGTTTAGTTCTTTTTTCGTAACAGATTTAATGTTTAGTATAGAGCTTAGAAAAAATTCACAGTATGATATATGCAAGAAGTAAGGCATGTAGCAACATCAGCACAGCAAAGGGCACTCCTTTAAAGGCAAGGAAGGGCAAAAATATTTTAAGTCAAGTGATAGCGATTGCTGTATGAGTCGTACGATTTTTGAATCAAGCACGGGCAACGCTGGGCCATGCTGCTAGTCGATTATATTAAATATCCTTCTTTGTATTTTGTCAATAATCTCGAGTGTGTCAGTATTACTGAGGTAACGCGTTGGCAGTCTACCACTTACGCAAGAGATTCAGTGAATGTTTGGATGCCAGCATGGTCAGGGACAAGAGGATTAAGCCACCTGACACGGTGGGCATTGAAGTCGGCGTACACAAATATATTTGCAAATGGGTGTAGAGAAAGGTCATTATCTATATTATCAGAAATACTATCTTTGTACGCAACAGTCATGAGAGGAAGGAAAACGATAAAGATAAAACGAAATAGTTGACTGAGTTTATTAGAGAAAGACGGGGACACATGTAAGAACGGTCTGGAGATTCAAGAGAGAGTTCCCTATCCAGTAGTAGATATTCCCGAACATAAACACCAAAGACATCCATGTGGATCCTAGAGTCATTCGAAAGAGAGGAAGAACCATGAACCGAGAATTCAGAGGAGTGGGTTGAAGAATTAAGATTAGTTTCACAGAGATCTTGGATATAGGGTTTTTCTTGGTTATTTAATAAAAATGCCTGAAATTTTTTATTATAATTTTAAATTCCTTTTTATAATATTGAAATTGAATAATAATCATTAATTAATAATATAATATTAAAACCATTAATATAAATAAGATATAAATATAAAATA